CCACATGTTCTAAATGAAATATATGGAGATAACGATCAGTACTTGGTATTCAAGCTCAAAAGTTCATTAAACAATACAAAATTGGAGCAGAGCAAATACGGACCTCCAAAACATCAAACGTGGGATCATGTACCATGGAGGAGTGAGCATCCACTGCTGACCGGTCACACCCGCCTTGTGCTCCTTGTACTGATCGGGAAATTACAGGAAAATCCGTCGACAATTCAATATGTAAATAATGGCCTAACAATTTGCATGAAAAACGTCAGACGACATTAGACTTCATTATAAATTGTATTTGCTGACAAAGCCATTGTATCGATGAAACAGATGGAGATAACGAACAGTACCCAAGATCAAAAGTCCATTAAACAATTCTAGATAGGAGCAGAGCAAACACAGACCTCCAAAACATCAAAGGCGGGATCAGGTGCTATGGAGGAGTGAGCATCCCCTGTCGACCGGTCACTCCCGCCGTGTTCTCCTTGTCATGATCTGGAAAAAACGGGAAAAAATCCGTCGTCATTCAGTGTATAAATAATGGACTAACAATATAAGTATGAAAAACGTTAGTCAGCATTTGTCTCAATGATAAACTGTATTTGCTGACAAGGTCATTGTATCGGCCACAAAACTTACGAAACGATGACTTTCAACGACACTGCTGATATTCTCGTTTCATCGACTTGTTTGTCAATAATTTACCTCGTTTTAGAAACTGTTCATACGTAGAACAGGCTCTTGCGTATTAAATCAACGGATGCGTATTAAATCAACGGATATGTAAACTTCGTATGCAGGTGATGAAAGTATATTGCTGCATAAGTAATAGGGGAAGAAGACGATTGTAAAGTTAAAGTAATCACGTTTATCATATAGCTTGGTTGTTAGATTACCATTAACGTCTTTTTCAAGTAAAATATCAAAATATGAAAAAGATTTTTCAGACCCTTTGGTATCTTTTATTTCAAGCTCACCGGGATATATCGTATCGACATAAGAATTGAAATTACCATTGTTAATTGACAATACGTCGTCGATATATCTAAATGTCGAGTTGAAGGCCACAGTATTCTTATTTTCACGTATAAAATTTTGGACAAATTCTGCTTTATGTGAATTCAAAAACAGGTCTGCCAATAATCGACTAACGAACTAGCGAAATGATGTTTTTAAACGAGACTGCTGCTGATATATTCTTGTTTCAGCAACTTGTTTGCCAATAATTTACCTCGTTTTATAAAATGTCCATACGTAGAGCATGTTCTCGCGTATCGAATCAACTGAAAGATATACTTGGGTATACAAACAACATGTGCAAGTGTTGAAGGAACAGGTACGTGTATATTGCTGCCTAAGTAAAAGAAGTTTACATACAATTTATAAATGATTAAATACATACAATTACAATATGTAAAATTTATTCGAACCTAAATATAAAGTGACACAGTGACGCAGAGGCTTTGACATTCCCCTTTTCGAAAAAAAAGTAACAACCTTCTCTAAAATTAAAAGGATGGGTTTTAAATGTACATTTTTAGCTCACCTGAGCCAAAGGCTCAAGTGGGCTTTTCTGATTTTGAAACTTTTCACATTTTCATCTTCTTCTCAAAACCACTGGGCCAATTTCCACCAAACTTGCTACAAAGTATCCTTGGGTAAAGGGGATTCAAATTTGTTCAAATGAAGGGCCACGCCCTTTTCCAAGGGGAGATAATTATGAACTAGAGAAAAATTAATGGCATTTTTAAAAAATCTTCTTTTCAAGAACCACTTGGCCAGGAAAGATGAAACTCATAGGGAATCATCCTCAGATAGTGTAGATTCAAATTTGTTCAAAGCATGACCCCGGGGGTAGGATGGGGCCAAAATGGCCGATCAAAGTTTTACATAGGAATATATATAGGAAAAATCTTCTTCTCAAGAACCACTTGGCCAGGAAAGATGAAACTCATGTGGAATCATCTTCAGGTAGGGTAGATTCTAGTTTGTTCAAAACATGACCCCTGGGGGTAGGGTGGGGCCAAAATGGCCGATCAAAGTTTTACATAGGAATATATAGGAAAAAACTTTAAAAATCTTCTCCTCAAAAAAACACTTGGCCAGGAAAGATGAAACTCATATGGAATCATCCTCAGGTAGTGTACATTCAAGTTTGTTCAAATCATGACCCCCGGGGATAGGGTGGGTCCAAAATGACCAATCAAAGTTTTACATAGGATTATATAGGAAAAATCTTTAAAAATCTCCTTCTCAAAAACCACTTGGCCAGGAAAGATGAAACTCATGTGGAATCATCCTCAGGTAGTGTAGATTCAAATTTGTTCAAATTATGACCCCCGGGGGTAGGGTGGGGCCAAAATGGCCGATCAAAGTTTTACATAGGAATATATAGGAAAAATCTTTAAAAATCATCTCCTCAAAAACCACTTGGCCAGGAAAGATGAAACTCATATGGAATCATCCTCAGGTAGTGTACATTCAAGTTTGTTCAAATCATGACCCCCGGGGGTAGGGTGGGGCCAAAATGGCCGATCAAAGTTTAACATAGGAATATATAGGAAAAATCTTTAAAAATCTTCTCCTCAAGAACCACTTGGCCAGGAAAGATGAAACTCATATGGAATCATCCTCAGGTAGTGTACATTCAAGTTTGTTCAAATCATGACCCCCGGGATAGGGTGGGGCCAAAATGGCCGATCAAAGTTTTACATAGGGATATATAGGAAAAATCTTCTTCTCAAGAACCATTGAGACAGGAAAGATGAAACTCTGTCGACGGGTTTTCTCGTTATTTCCCGATCATGGCAAGTAGCACACAGCGGATGTGACTGGTCGGCAAGGGATGCTTACTCCTCAATGGCACCTGATCCCATCTCTGATCCAGTGTATTAGAGGTCCGTGTTTCCTTTGCTCCTGATTTGTATTGTTTGGTTGGACTTTTGAGCTTAAAATACTGTTTGTTTCATTCCAAAAATTGATACAGTTGATGTGGAAAATGAAAGAAGGGATATTGTTTGGCAGGGAGGAAAATCGCTTTTCGGTCCTTCATTGTCCTTCAGGATAAAAATGAACTCGGAAACTATTGCACTGCTGGATAGAGAGAAAAAAGATACTAGTAGTCTGTCTATCGAACTGCCAAACAAGTTCCACTGAAAATTCAAAATGTTGAATTCGAACAATTTTCTCAGTATCTGTTCAACCGAGCTTTTAAGGTATAGGGCCTATATCTAATTCGACATAATGATAGATTGTATTTGCTTACAAGATCATTGTATAGATCACTGAACTTGCAATGTAAAATGATGACTTTAAACGACATTGTTAGTGTCTTTGTTTCATCGACTTGTTTGTCAATATTCTCTTGTTTTAGAAATTGTTCGTATGTACAGCATGCTCTTGCGTATGGAATCAACTGGGAGATAAATGTTTAAACTCCATTCTCATGTGATAAAGGTTTGTTGCTTCATAAGTAAGGGATATTGACGATAGAAAACGTGAAGTCGTTACATAATTATAAACTTTTGTTGTTAGATTACCGTAAACGTCTTTTTCCAAAGAAATATATGGAGATAACGAACAGTATTCAAGCTCAAAAGTCAATTAAACAATACAAATTTGGGAGCAGGCCAAACACGGACCTCTAAAACATCACAGGTGCAATCAAGTGCCATGAAGGAGTGAGCATTCTCTGCCGACCCGTCACGCCAGCTGTGTGCTCCATGTAATAATCGGGAAATAACGGAAAATACGTCGACAATTCAGTGTGTAAATAATGGCCTAACAATTTGTATGAAAATCGTCAGTCAGCATTTGTCTAAATGATAGATTATATTTGCTGACAAAGTGATTGTATCGACCATATATAGAATATACGAAACGATGGCTTTAAAGGTTTAAACCAGACTTCTGATATTCTTGTTTCATTCACTTGTGTGTCATTAACTGACCTCGTATTGGAAATTGTTTATAAGTAGAGCATGCTGAAATTGCGTAACGAATCAACTTTGAGATATATACCCCAAATGCAGGTGATAAAGGTATATTCCTGCATGAATAAGAAAACCCCAACTAAACAAGCTGAATCCACAATATAATAAGACGCTTACTTTTCAAGGTGCAAATTTTCGACATGTCTTGCTGTTCCATTACATCTCTCTCTCTCTCTGTTATCAATTTTTTAAACTTTAAAATGAAATACATTTTGTAAAATCATTTTATTAGGTATAAGTTATATCGTTCTTTATACAGAATTTTAATAGATCAATCAGTTTCAAATGAAATGTGACTTGAAAATTTTACTCATGTATAGAATAAAATAATTATATCTATATATATTTGTTAGTGCATATGCATAAATAAATTGTGATTTTTTATTTTAAATTCTGCTTTGAGGGGAGAATTTCCATTTGATTATAACAGTCAATTTAAAGATAAGTGTGGGGGGGGGGCTCTATACGATAACTCATAAATAAATAAATAAATAAATAAATAAATAAATAAATAAATAAATAAATAAATAAATAAATAAATAAAGAATTTAAAGAATTTATCAAAATGTAACATTTAACAAAATTACTTGGAAGTTCAAACCCTGATTTAATTTTTTTTTTAAATCAGTGTTTTATATGTTTAACCACGAGACAAAAGGTATGATCTATTTTTTTTAAATGATTAATCAATATAATTTACTGTTTGAAATTATTTGGAACTTTGCTGCATATAAATTTTTAAAGAGTTACTAGTATATAATATTTACCTTCATTGTAATTCATGATAATTATATTTATTGGAATGAGTACTCTATAAAGAAATATAACAATTATACATTATAAACATGTAGTCTAAATGAGCTTGATGGATATATATATATTGGTAAATTTTACAGATCTAAAATTTGATTTATATTCGAAATAAAAACACAAAAGTCTGTTCTCTCGCAAATGGGCATATGAATTGTTTGAAGGACAAATTGAAGACAGATCACACTAGTCCGCAATTTATTTTCAATCGGGTGTGGTGTTCAATTATTCGAAACTGGATGGAAGCGCGCTGGATGAAAACAGCACACAGCACGAAAATAATCGGGGTTTTCTCCTCAAATGGTACGGTATATGTACATTTAAATAATAATCTGATATTCATTACGTTTATTTGCTCTGTGATATAATTAGTTTATCTTTTTTTCCCCTGAAGTCAACTGTACAGGGTGAATTTATAGAGAAGGCCCGACTCTACACTGCTCTACTCTGCTGTAGACTATACCTGTACACTACATAATAGTTTTATATCCAGATAGAGAGATCCGTCCGAAGATTTTGAAATGAACATCTTCAATGTTTTTCTTAATTTCTTACCATTTAGAGATTTGTGCTTTTTATTCCAAGGCAAACTACTTTAACTCTATTTCTTCTTTTATAAAATAGTTTTGTCATATGGTTCAAAAAGAAGCTTTCATTAGGGTAGAGAGGGCCAAACAGTCCTCAACCTGTTATCTATCTGTTTCTCTCAGTATTACTTGCCCTTAAACTGAGTACTCTGAGTCCGAGTAGGGTGCACTGTGTGACAGCTGGTTAAAAGGTAAAAAAAATAAAGGACAATAAATTTCAAAAGGATGGAAAGAAAATGTAAAAAAAAAAAAAAAAAAAAGAAGAAAGGCATAGTAGGAACAATACCCTGAAAATTATAAGAGAGTTTTTCATACAATTTTTTTTTGGATGGATTTGATTCATTGAAGTAAAATACATTATTTTTAAACTCAATTGTTAACTGTACAGCTATTCTACAAATCTCACAAAAAGACCTGATTTTGCAAAATACTCAAAAAAAATTTTATCTTGAGTTTCATTTGTTGGTTTCTGAAGATGTCATCTACAGCATTACCTATCCCTGAACTGCACAGAACATCTAACAAAACCATTTGCAGTTGACTACGAAATGCTGGAATTATCTGCAAGAGGATTGTTCAAGTTCATGCCATTGTTCTGACCCCACAACACCCCAAATAGTGACTACAAATGTCTCAGATCAATAGAGTATGGGCACAGCAACGCCGCTGAACATTTTGGTTAAATTACTAGTTCAGAATGTTTATCGGAAAGCCTAGCTGTTATAAGTTTAAGAGTGCATAGGCTTTGTAATGAAAGTGAGACAGAAAACTGCCTCCAGGACGTTGAAAGATTTGGTGATGGTATTGTAATGATATGGAAAATGATATTACATAAAAGTAAGACTGATTTGGTTCATATTCAAAGGACTTTGTTGAAAAAAGGTTCTCTAACAATTAATGTTCTACCTGCACTTGCCTTTTCAATTTTGCAGCATCCTGGAACCATATTTCAATCTAACAATTTGAGAAGTTGCGTCTAAGTTCATATATTTTAACTATGCTTTACTCACATTGGTCAATATTTTAATGAGCTATGAAATTTTCTCCTCTCATTCAACCATGGACAGAATTGGAGTGGATCATACATTAATTACATTTTGGCAGTAGTTTGGGAAGATTAACAAGTAAAAACAAAACTATTTCTTCTTTCATAATTTTAGGCATCAGGTTTTTGCATTAGGACAAGACAAAACTCTAGATCATTTGCCCAAAGAGCAAGTGAATCTAAAAGTTAATGTCATTCTCACTCTTTTTGTTTTTAAGGACTGATTAACCGACACCCTGGAGATTGAGGATATGATATCAGCCTGTGAAACACAGGAATTTGTACCATTTGGAAGAAACTATATCGAAAAACATCCAGGAATATTTCAACTTCAAGTACAGAATCATGTATGTACAGAACAAGGAGTGCCCTTGGTCAAGTCATTCCGAGATATTTCCATCACAGATTCTAAAAAGGTGAGTTTGTTTTCATTAAGTATTAACACTATTGTACATGCATGTATATCTATGACTTAAAGTTAATGCATCTTCATTGTGTTTATATATGTTATGAAGTAGCACTTATTATTTAGATTTCAGTCAATCAAAAGAATTAAATATGGTAAAAGCATTTTTTTGCCCCCCCTTCCAAATAAGAGACTTATTTTTGCACAGTCTGCTAATATTTTGAACATATTAATTAATTTGAATGTTATGTTGATTGAATATTTTTATTGCTATGGTAATTTTGATTTTTTTTCTAATACATGTATAATTCTTGCTAAATAAGGCTATATTTTTGTCATTTTGCAGCCAAAAGAACAGTGGTCATTCAAAAGGCAGCATAAATCTTGTCCGTCTGACCATGACACCTGTGATGAGGAACTGTATGTGAGTGGAAACACGGTCATCTGGAGCCATGGGGGGCACGGGGGAGTGCAGCATATCCTCAAATCCTTCACCATGGACACACCTGTTCTACAGGTGAGGAATAAATGCTTTAATTTCTTAAATGAAAACTATATAAGCTAAATAGTAGTAGTTTAGGTTTCTTGTTTATAACAATTTGGTGCTTACAAATCTTAGTTCTGCTGGATTATAGAAGCTTTAAGTATTGGTAAAATATCCTGAATCCTTCAGACTTTCTGTTACTATATCAATGATCATCACTTTTGAGATGTATTTGGCTGTTCAAGTACGTGCATGGAAGACATGTTTCAGGTGTCGAAGGCTTTACGGATTAGTAGAAGTATTCATTGAAAAATGACAAATTTATCAAAGCATGCATTCATATATAACAAATCTTCATTTTGTACCACATTAGATCTTTTGGTCTGGCTTGAATTAAACATGGTACAAATTGATAATTGAGAAAATGAAACTAAAAAAGAAATGATGCAGTTTATAATATACATGTACACTCTACTTTTAAAATATTTAATGAATATCATTACTTTATCATTTTACAGGCACTTTGGTTTGATTTCATTTTACCAAATACAGAGACAATTCCAGATCCCCCTAATTCCTTGGATATTGAGGGTAAGAATTTTACTGCTCTGTTGTTAGGGCTATACAATGAAGTCACTCAAGTGACTTATTGTAGTAAGGTTCCTTTATTAAAGACCCAATTTTTTTACCGTACGGTTACCTGAGGAGGGGGAGTGGTCTAGGTAACAGTGGTGTTATTTACCTGGAGACCCCCAATAATAAAAATTTTATACACGTAGCATTACACAGGAAGTCTGTTCGGTGATCAGGGTCAATATTCCGTGTTTCGTGTCTAAATTTGAGTGAAACTACTTGAAATAATTGAAATATTTCAATAAAAAAAATTTTTATAAATACTTTCAGTGATATATAATGAAGAAAAAAATTATATACAGAAATATCGTTTTTATATTTAAAAAAAAAAAAATGACAAATTAAAGAAAAGAACACAGAGTAAAACTACAAAGTAAACATATCTTTTTAAATTAAACTTGTGTAAATATCAAATTTTAATAAAAATAATATAATAAAATATTCCATTCATAGGTAGGCCTATCCTCGTGTGAACATATACAATGTAACTACGATAGAAATATTGCCTTCGTTCTGATCAACAATAGTGTCGAAAATATTCCCCATTTCCGGGTGTTCGTGTGTTTAAGTTTTTTATTGTTTGCAAGATTTCTTTTATACTTTTAAGAATTGATATTTGGCTGTATATATACACTTTTTAATTTCGAATATTGGATATTGACAGATGTAAGGAAATTCGAACTAAAAGTTACAATCTCAAAACTCCTAGCTATTTTCATTTCAGAACTTTACAACGGAACATGGTATAGATTGTATTCATATATACATAGATAAAACATAGGATAAATGCTTTTTTTTTTTTATCCGTGCCGTTTGTGCTAAATATCTTTTCTTATTTATCATATTTCAATTTTAATCGGCAATTAGCGTTTCTGTGCACGGACTGGTCTAAATTCTACAGAGCAGATATTTGGACGACATATCGCCTAAAATACAATATAGCCGTTGAGATTAAAAGCAAATATTTTATGAAGTCATGTTTTAATTATCTACTCTCAATTGTTTTTAAAATAAAATTTTACCAAGATTCTTTTTTTAACCCCCGTGTATACATGCGGCTACATAAAAGTGTTTGACGCGTGACCAGGCAATCGTTTTCGAAGGACATAAACTCAGACTATCGGTAGCTGACCTGTCAATCAAATCAGAAGCTATTGTTTTTTTAATGATTGACAGGCGGTAAATTATTGATCTTGAATCAGGTAGATTTTGGGGGCGTTAACATAAAATTGGGTGTTTAACAGGCATGTATTCTTTGTCATCTTTTGAATATTTTCAAAGTTTCTCTGGAGATTAACAGTTTTTGTACATAACAACTAAGTAGAAAATAAGGAAGAGAATAAGTAATCTATGTTTCCTTCATTGTTTCATTCCTTTGGTGTTCGTGATCTTGAAATCTTTTATGGAATGCAATTTGCAAGTTTAGAATTCATTGTACAGTATGCATGGTCCATCTTTTATTTGTAGGGGAGCTTCAGTCAGGAATCTGTGTGGTGGAGATGGGCTGTGTAAGCTGTTTCTGTGAAACAGGAGAGGAATACTCCATGGCACTGCCATTTCAGGTGAGATCAATTTGTTTTGATAAATATATAGTTTTGGTGATTGTCAGACAAACACTTGATTAATTTGGACAAAGGAGTTTTTTTCGGGAAGTTTAATGGGTACTTTAGCTCACCTGAAGCATTTGTGTACAGCGCTATAGGTGCAAACTTTGATCAGTTTTAGATTTCAGTCCTTCCATGATTTCTATACATTGAGAATCTATAAAATCCATTTATAAATGCTGCTCTTCAGCAAATTTTTTCTAGAATTCAAATAAAATTTGTTAAGCAAGTAAAATACACCAAGGGACATAATTTCAATTTTCAATTTTGATTATGTTGTCATAGCAACTAAACACAATTTACTTGTAATAATTTCTTTCAATGCCTCTCTAACTCTTGGTACATGTACACTATTAGAGTACATCAAAAAGCATAATTCTGTGCAATAGTTTATAATTATGATAATCAGTGTTGCCATTGCTTTTGTAATGATTTAGATTGCTAATGTTTGGAAGATGAAGAATGGCCTCCTCTTTGAAAGAACGGTGTCAGTAGCAGAGTCAAGTAATGCTAAACGGTAAGTAGCGCTGTATTGCTGACTGAAAAAATCTCAGTTTTTTTATGTTTAAAAATAAAATTAAATCCAGTCAAAACAAAGTAATCCAGTAATTTAATTGAATTTAGATGAATATAAATGCTATTTTATATTAGTTTTAGTCACTGAGTTGTCAAAATGCATTTTACTCTCTGATACTTTTTTTGTCGGAAAACTAAAATTATTTTCTCTGTCAACTTTCTCAAATTTTTGTACGTGTACTACAAATGCTTTGAACATTTAAATGGAGGTTTAATTCTTTACAATGTTATTAAGGAAAGTATGTGTAATTAATGGAAACTTATTGATTAATATTTGTAGAAGTTTCCCAAATCAAACCACATTGTTCAGTATGTTACATTGCTTGGATGAAGTTTCACCAGTAATTATGAGAACAAGTAAGCATTTTTTGCATGCATTTGTGCTTGGCATTAGTCATATTGATAATTAAGTATCCTCCTTCAATATTCCATTTGATGAAGTTAGGCATGGGATGGGGCCACAGTAAGGAGTCAGAGTTTTATGCAGTTCATATATCTCTTGAAGAACACAAAAGGCTACAATGAAGCAGATTTTATCATAACTTTAGATTTTTTTAAGTTTTTATAGTAAGGCCAGCATTTTTTTATTTTTAGGTTTACGAACATCAGAATGAAAAAGTCCCATAGGAGGAGGAAATAAAAAAAAAAATAAAATTATATTTTGGATACATTATCGACTTTTCTACATTAATTTTTGCTTCTTTTTTTATGCTCTCCTACTAGGCTTCTTGCCACTGGACGCATAAGGGTTACAAAGGGAAAAATACCACCTTTAATTGTTCATTTCATCATCTACCTGTTGGGGGCAGTGATATAAATCTTTTGATGTTGGACAAAATACAGATTTTTAAAAAAAAAATCAATTTTTAAAATCTCTTTTAATATATCTTCATTTTTGTTTTTAATGTGTGGTAGGTATTATTCTAAAATATTTTAAATATACTCAGACCTATAAAAGTAATTTCCTTTCATAAAACAGACATATTCCCAAGGAGTATTGAGGAGTAGGGTGGAATTTTTTTCAATTAAGTGTAAAATAATTTTTCTGGCTGCCATAAACGATACTACATGCCTGTATATATTTGTATATTCTTGTTTTTAAATAGTTGAAATATTTTATTTCTTTAGGCTATTGTTTATTTCTTCCTCAAATGGACTTAACTTCTCCCATAGTTTTATTCATTACATCTGATGCATAAGCCACCCTTTTCTGAAGAATGATGCTAAGACTGTAAGCTAGAACAGAAACCTAAACAAAGTCTCTGACAATAGCTACCATGGGCAGTTTTAAACCTGTGGGAGGAAAATAATTTACAATTACAGACAGTTACTTTTGAATACGGATACATGTACATAGTTATCTCACCAACATGTCACTTTGCAACAAAGTCGTCAGCATTTTATTGTTCACTGAACGGGTGAAACGTTTTGATTGGCACTCCTATCGATAAATATTTACATTAAACCAAGCTTTAGTGCTGCTATGGACTTGACACCATTTAAAACCGGAAGTACGAGTTCGTAAATTTGAAATCACGATCCCGACTCAAATTTGACATCGGAAAGAAAAAATTCTGTTTTTTTTTCAATTTTATTTTTTTTCTGAAAATTCAAAATCTTGAGCGGCGGGTTTGTAAACCTAAAAATAAAAAAATGCTGGCCTAATTAAGTGAAACAAAGTTTTTTTCCCCCTCATTTATGTCATCCATGGAAATATTGGTCAATGTAAAACCTTACCTTAAATGAGCATTAAATTATTGATTAGATGAAATGCACAAAATTTTACCCATGCAAGACATTGGTCATCGAAATGAAAATTAAAACATAAATCCTTCAAAATTACATGCATACCTTAGACACGAATAAGGTTTTTTGATGCATTATGAATACAGGTTATGATGAATATATGTAATTAGAATGTTGCAGGTCATGCTTGTATTTGTTTACACAGATGCCAGTGGTGGGTTGAAGGTCTCCTACATGACGGACACTTCTCAGCACATTGTATTTACCAGTGTAGAACCATCCATAGCCCTCATGTACGACACACAGCTAGGAATTCACTCAGCCTGGAAAATTCAAAGGGCAAAATTTGAGGTAAGTAGCTTTATCATATGCTAATTTTTTCTCTATTTAGATTTTGTTTTCAGAATGTGCTGAAGGAGAGAAGATAGAATGAACCAGCTGATTACAAGTTTTAGTAACTGTATACCTTATATTTTGCAAGTACTTAATATTACAAATGTTTTCTTCAATGTCAAATTGCAAAATCAGTGATACGCAAGAGGTCAGTTGATGAAAGGATTTTATATGGATTTCAGAAAATTATAAAAATAAAAGTTGAAAAATTTATATTATGCCAAAGATGATTTTCATGAAATGCAGTTATCAATTTCTAGAATATATTAAGGAATCTACTGTAAAGAAAATCAGACATCAATTATTTTGAAATTTTTCTAATTCTGTAGGACTGTAACTTAGTGTGTGGTTCAATGGACACCAGCCTCTACCATCCTGTCCCTGGGACTCCCCTCAACAACCAGTCCAGCTGTAGCTCGCGATACTTTGGCAACCTTTCCTCCCAGTCACCCAGCGTGTCCCCTATGAGAAGTTTTTCGGGGAGAATTAGTTCCCCTGGCGGCCTCCATCTTCCTCAGCCCATCAGTCCCATGATTTCTAACATCACAGCATCCAGGTAGGTCAAGTGGTTTGATTTGTCAAGAAATCAATGGTTTTTGACAATACTGTCTAATGAAAGTACGATAGAACTTCAGTATTTGAACTTTGATATCTTGGATACCATGGATATGTTGAACTGATTTTGAAGTCCCAGCTCCTTATTCTTCAAGTATTTTACCCTGGATATGTGGAATCCTTGGATATCATGAAGTTTTTTCCCAAACTGTCTTAATTGAAGCTTTTCAACAGATTACCATCAATACAACATATTAAAGTTAAGGTGCAAAATCCCAAATTAAATTTTTGGTATGTCTTTTTATTAGGTCACAGTCACCAGCCATAACAAGTGGTTCTCTTCACCGATTTCACACCCCATCTCCTAGCCTCAGCAGACATTCAGGAAACTACTTCAGAACACCCCCAGTTTGTTCCAATAATGTTTCCCTCATCAATGAAAGCTTTACAGAGTGGGTAGAACCTCTCAGACCAGAAGTCTGTTTAGAGCACATCTGGACTGAGCCAGCTCCAGCAATTAGGTAAGGAAAGTTCAATTCATATCATCCTGACCTTCTTGTAATATAAATTTAATGCTGACATGTGCTTTAAACTGGACAGGCAATATACTGATTTTTCCTATGTTTAAATGGGTTCACATTTTCAAAATTCGTGCTTCAAGATTTTATAGAAACATTAGTTTTCAGTACAAATCTCAAAAATTTACTGTCTTAGATTGAAAAAAAACTTCAAGACATTCCTGTTCGAATATGAATTAAATTTGAAATGGTCTTTTCATGGAGTTTTAATTTGTGCACTTATCTGTTTTAGGGATGGATCCCTGGGGAAGTCCAGCAAAGTTTTCCAGATGAAAGATCTCTGTGGACAGCAATACCTGTGTTACCTTGTGTCATACAGACAGCAGTTACGGTAAGTCATACAGAATAATTATGGTAAATCAAATTATTGTATGGTTCCTTGTGTCATACAGACAACAATTATTGCAAGTTTAATCATGTTTCTTTAATATTAAAAAAAAGGTATCATTTTAACAGTATATGATTTCCATAAAATAATTGTGTTATTCTTTGATTGGAATGTTTGATACTTGAAATGTGTTGTAATTTAAGAAACACAACAAATTATACATATATATTTTTGCATTAAAATGTTGGGTTTTAAAGTGATACTCTTTCTTTGTATCTTTCTATCTGATATTTATATTTTCTTGGAAGTACAGATAATGTCATAAAAGTTATACCTGCAAAGGCTCATGAGCTTTTCCAATTGAGGTAAGCTGTTCGTCTGTCTGTCTGTAAACACTTTTCGAGTTTTATGGTGAAGGTTCTTGGGCATTTTTACAATAGTTGAAATCAATAAAATAGATGTGTTATTATTTATTCTTTTTTTTTTTCTTTTTTTTTTGCAGAGTTTAAATCTGTTAGTGATACTTGATCCAAATGGAGTATTATTTATTTACAGTGGTGTAACCAAGGTATGAGAAAATCAGCCTCAGATTTGTTATACAGACAAATTACTAGTATACTTCTTAGGCATTAAAACTTTGGCTTTAAAGTTTCAAAATTCCTAAAAACTATTTTCTTGTAGAATGTTAAATTACTACATGATTATGTCATAAAAATTTTACCCCATTTTTTTTTTTTCAAAAATGTTGATTTTAACTTGGTCACTTTCTAAGCTTTTGATCTAAATAATTTCTGTTTTGTAAAAACAGCTGTATTTTTTTTGTATTTTTCAGATAAATCGCCTCCATGTTTCCACACTGCCTCTAGGATCTGGGTCTATAGAAATATATGTTCTTTAAAACCTGTGACCCCATCATATATATATGCCCCTTCAAATCATGAGGGGAGACCAAAGTTTTACATAGAAACATATAGGAAAATTCTTTAAAAATCTTCAGCAAAGCCATTATTCATCATATATATATGTGCTATGGATCAGGCAGGAGTAGGGCGGGGCCAAAATGGCCGAAAAGTTTTACATAGAAATATATAGTTCTTTAAAAATCTTCTTCTCAAGAATGACAAAGCCATAATTCATCATATTTATATGACCTTTTAAAGTTTATCCAAATTGAGCTTTTGGTATGAAATATATAGTGAAATTCTTTAAAAGTCTTCTTCTCAAGTATGACAAAGCCATTATTAATCATATTTATATGGAAGCATGGGATCATATTTCAAGTATTTTTACTTATATAGGCCAATTCTTTAAAAATTTCTTCTCATGTCAAAGCCATTATTCATCATATTTATATGGAAGCATGCAGATTTTATTATATAGTTTTTTAAAAATCAATCATTTTCTAGGATTGCATGGCACTACTTTTGGATTTAAACTTTACAATAAAAAGCCATTTTATACTAGCATTGGTGCTCATGAGCGTTTTGTTTTTGTTTAATTTACAAATTTTGACTTTGTCACTTTCTAAACCTTTGATCTACATGTATAACCAAAAATAAAATTCTGTATTGTTATAGAAAGCTCTTCACACTTTTTTTTTCAGATAATTTCCATGTTTCCACACTTCTAGTTATATACAAGGCTTGAGAGATAATGCAGACCCCCTAGTGCTATGGATCAGGCAGGGTTTGACGAAGAGGTAAGTCTTCAAATTGCTTTAGACTTCATGCATGAAATTTTAAACTAAGTTTATCCAAATTAAGCATTTAGCGTGACCCTTTATGAGGTCTGTTTTGTATGGAATCATTGAAATGGGATCATTTATTTCAAGTTTTATTTAGCCAATTTCATCAAAGAATCTTCATGGTAGATTTCATTTGTTCAAATGGAAATCCCATTATTTCCTTGACTTAATGTTTTTGTAGAAACTCTTTCAATATACATGTATTTTTAATTTCCAACACATGCTAGTTATATACAGGGCTTGAAGCTTTTTGCACAGTAAATCAATTCATTTTTAAAATTGATATTTTTAATACATTTACAATTTTGAAGTTACAAATTTTTATCTTTATGTGTTTTAAGATTATTATGTTTTCTTCACAAACTACAAAATTTGATTTAATTGATTTCTAAGATTCACCTTGTGTTTTCATATAAACTTGTATATATAAAATTTTGTTTTATTTCTTCATTGAAGGAATTAATCAACGGCAGTATGTGTAGAGCTGTGATGCCCAAATCCTCAGCCTCACCTGGGAGTAAGTATCATATAATCAAACTTTTATTGGTGTAAACCATATTTCTGTGTCTAGCACACAACCATATATAATTACTTTATTAGACAGTTGATAAGAAATAAGGCATTTTTATCGCATATTATTTGTGAGTTTGTTGAACCTACCTTTTTAATATCGATCTGAAATTTAATTTCAGTTGAGAAATGTTTACTGTCACTAAGACACATGTTGCCGCGAGATGTCGCCATCACTATCCTTGGTAAATGGTACACGGCCAGAAATACGCCAGGAGGGTTAGGGAACCAGTCAGAGTGGGCTCTGTTTACCAAAACTTTGTTTGGACTCATGGGATACGACACATCCAGACTAGCTTTGACTCGTCAGGTATGGTTTTATGTTAATTGTGTGTCCCCAGTAAGGAGTTAGTAATGTCTGAAAACTGCAAATTTTCCCCCCTGAAATTTAAAAAGAAAGGTCGTTTTTGTATCTTAAGTCACAAAATAAGTTTCTCCCAAAGATAGGCACAGAAAAACATTATTTTACAATCATGATGAAAGTATTATTGACTGGAATCATTTTTCATTCTCTTTGCAGGAAGATGCAGACATATCAGCTTCACCCTTGATGCTTGCCAAAAAACCCAGACAGTCAGATCAGGGCTCAGATGATGTAAGTACATGCTTTTCTATTTCATTTGTGAAATTCAAATTGCAAATTACACATTGTATTCAAGCACAATCAATACTTCTTTTCTGTTTTTAGGACTGGGATACCATGATAGGTTCTGACCATCATAAGTTGGTGAAATCTGTGTTTGAGAAAAGTCTGGGATTTCAGGCTCCCATTGACAAGTTGCAGACCTCGAAACACTCCCTCCCGTCCTCAGTTAACACTTCTGCTGTGCTGTTTCTACAGATACCAGCTGTGTTCATAGCATTGCATCTTACATTTGAGGTACATTACCTGAGGTTGGGTAAAGTTCTTGATTCTGCTTTGTCTATGGTTTGTTCTGGTAACTTTGAGTTTTAACTCAAACATTTTTATTTAGTTAGATGACTTCCTGTGGAATACAGTGTGTATGCCGTTAATCTAGAAAAAGTGAATGCTCATATTTACTAAGCTTAACATTACAGCTTGTTTTTAGTCTTAATTTTCTCTCTCTTTTTCCAGGAATTACAATTAAATACAACTCTAGTTGAAGAGGTTGAAAATTTAGTGCCTATTTTATATCAACTTTCAAGGTAAAGTTTAAAAAATTTTGCATGAAGGCAGGAGATTCTGCTTAATTACCATAATCACTCTAACTATCTATATTGACCACAGGGACTGCTTTCTAAGTCCCCTTTCTGTAGGCTGTTCTCTGACCTCTCTGGGATTGCCTTAATATTTCTAGTTGATGATGTATTTGGCTGCCTTTGTGGAATGTATAGTTTGCTTCAGTATACAAAGATGCATTATTTTAGCATATAATGAACTCATCATCAAAGATTCATGCTGTATGTTTCTTTTCCAGTGACCTAAGAAGATCGAACTATGCAGATTATTACTGTAGGAAATTCCCATCTTTGTTTGACAGTTGTAGTGATGAAGAAAGCCAAATAACGGAAGGTAGACAGACTTCATATGTAAACAAATTTGTAAGCTTAAAGCTTCAGGATATACATGTAATTTGAAAGTTGATCTGGTAGAATGACAGCTTAGGTTTGTTTTTCTATTTCATTTCAGAGCATCTTTCGAGACTGCAGTACCCCAATTTAGATTTTGATTATGTGTTCTCTGTTGATCAGTGGGTTTGTTTTGCCTTGAGGCAAGTGGAGAGTAGACCCTTTCCATATATTCCTGCTGTTTCTAATCTTACTAAAAGCATTATTTCGGTAAGTTCTTAAAACCGGAAACTGGAAATATTTTTCTCATTTGAGGAAATGGTAAAATGTTGAATAAGATTTATTATTTGATTGAATAAAGATTATTGATAATGTGTGCTAATATACATGTAGTATAGTTAAAGACTTCATTTCTTAATAAATGTAGCGTTACATTTAGTTACATTTTATTTCTTCAGCTCAAGTTTTCTTTCGCATTGTCAACAGGATGTATTTTTATCATCAAAGAATTCATTAATTAAAAAATGTTTCTTCTCAGCTGTATGCAGTCCTGGTCAAACAGCATATGACAACAGAGCAAGCAGTGGATCTTTGCCTAAGAAGGCTTGCCCCAGCAGGTTTTATAATTACTTTATATAAATATTTGACTTTAATTTAATTTCATGAAATTTTCAGTCCAAAACCGTAGGAGACTGACATTTTACATATTTATGCCGTAATTTGATTGGTTGATACATTTCAGGTCACAGGGGACCGGTACCAGATCTGTCTCTCTCTAGAAGTTTTTCTGTGACAGTCCCAACAAACAGTGTTCAAGAAAGGATTGTGTTGTACATGACAGACTTAGGTATGTACACTAAGAAATGTAGCATTGTAGAAAGGGAGAATTTTAGTGTTCAGTGGTGAGCAATTCAAAAGATAATGTAGCTGTAAAATTTATAACTATTCCCCCACCTCACCCCTTTAATTAGGAGGAGAGTCCAGATTTAGCACCAAAATTATTTCAGTGCCGCTGATAAGGAATTCATGACATTTTTGATGTTCTTTTTGCAGGCATGACTCTAGATGACTTGGAATATTTACCCATAGGTCTATCCTTGCCTTTAAGAGAAGCAATATTTCACTGCAGATATAATCCCCCCTCTGACTGGCCAGAAGAACCTTATATTCTCATTGGTAAATACTAAATATCAATTAAGTTTTAAAGTAATTAAAACATTAATAAGTATTCTATTCAATGAATTTCCATTTGTTGAAGATGAAATGGTTTAATCATTTATGCACTGCTTGTAATTTGAGTACAGTCAATCTTGTAATCCTGCACTGGATTGGACCAAGGAAAACTTTGAGATATGCAAGGGTTCAATACTTTGAAAGTAAAATACCCTAAGAAAAAGTACATACACTGTATTACTTCCAAATTGCTTTGACATATCCATGATATTGGAGATATCAGTGTCTGAGATATTGCGGTTCAGCTGTATTTGTATTATTATCTACAATCTTCTTTTACTCTACCAGGACGTCAGGATTTATCACAGCTTCTGTCTCTTGGCAAGACCAAAAAAGTGTGTTCCCCAGGAATGTATTCCTATAAGCCTTACCCAGATGTAGAGGGAACACAGTATGAAGAGGATGGCATGGAACATTTAGACCAAGAGGTGAACTGAGATATAACATATCAATATACATTTTTATTTATTTGCCTTGTTATGTATTAGAGCCAGAATAATAGTTCATACTTGAAAGTGCATGTATTTTAATTTACAGAATACATTTTTGCAATCCTTCATATTAGCTTTATAGAGGGCTATCACCTGTTGAAATCGTTGGCAAGTGTGTTTTTCCCAGAAATAAATACATAACTTGTGCCTTGAAAAGAAACAGTAAACCCAGAAAACAATTACAACAAACAAATTACTAGTATACATATACATGTATCTTAATACATACAGTATATGTCTATTTTCAGCTTTTGAGGTTAAGATTCTCTGAAGATTTACGGGTGTCAGAAGCCAGGCGACTTCTTCAGTCCTCACGTCCAGCAAGAATTGCCTTAACCCAGAGACCAGAGGTCAGGTAAGTTCACCAAGAAACAGTTATTTGTGAGGTAGATGATGTTTTACAGTGAACGTTGCATCACAATATTAACAGTTGCTCTTCTAGGATGTTCCAAAATAGCTGTTATTACATTATTAGTGATAAGAAATTTGAGTGTGTATTTGTGATCGAATTTTGGCATTATTTGCTAGGGTGCTGAGATCACTAAAATTGAAAATTGCTAAAAACTAGTGCTAATTGTAACGGGAACCGTTACAGATGTTCCCCAAACACTCCCAAACTCCCTTTCGGTGCCATATTCCCTGTAAGCTTCATTAAATAAGACACACTTTGTGCATTTTTAGCTCTACTGGTCAGAGACCAGAAGAGCTTATGCGATAGTAATGCGTCCGGCGTCCGTCCGTCTGTCTAGCTGTCTGTCTGTCCGTCCGTCTGTCTGTCCGTCTATCTGTAAACAATTTTTCAAAATGCTACTCCTCCTACAATTTTAGTCTGATTTCAATTTAACTTGGCACACAAGTAGACTACACTAAGATACATAAAATAGTGCATCGGTATTTGATTTCGATGAACGTTGTTGCCATGGTTACTAAAAATAGAATTTTCTGAGAAATTCCTTTAAAACGCTACTCCTTCTACAGTTTTGTTCTGATTTCAATATAACTTGGCACACAAGTAAACTACACTAAGATACATAAAATAGTGCATCGGTTTTTGATTTCGATGAACGATGTTGCCATGGTTACTAAAAATAAAATTTTCTGTGAAATTTCTTTAAAACGCTACTCCTTCTACAGTTTTGGTCTGATTTCAATATCACATGGCACACAAGTAGACTACACTAATTTATATGTAATAGTGCATCGGTTTTTGATTTCGATGAACGATGTTGCCATGGTTACTAAAAATAGAATTTTCTGTGGAATTCCTTTAAAACGCTACTCCTTCTACAGTTTTGGTCTGATTTCAATATTACTTGGCACACAAGTAGACTACACTAAGATACATAAAATAGTGCATCAGTTTTTGATTTCGATGAACGATGTTGCCATGGTTACTAAAAATAGAATTTTCTGTGAAATTTCTTTAAAACGCTACTCCTTCTACAGTTTTGGTCTGATTTCAATATAACTTGGCACACAAGTAGACTACACTAATTTATTTGTAATAGTGCATCGGTTTTTGATTTCGATGAACGATGTTGCCATGGTTACTAAAAATAGAATTTTCTGTGGAATTCCTTTAAAACGCTACTCCTTCTACAGTTTTGGTCTGATTTCAATATTACTTGGCACACAAGTAGACTACACTAAGATACATGAAATAGTGCATTGGTTTTTGATTTCGATGAACGGTGTTGCCATGGTTACTAAAAATAGAATTTTCTGTGAAATTCCTTTAAAACGCTACTCCTTCTACAGTTTTGGTCTGATTTCAATATTACTTGGCACACAAGTAGACTACACTAAGATACATGAAATAGTGCATTGGTTTTTGATTTCGATGAACGATGTTGCCATGGTTACTAAAAATAGAATTTTCTGTGGAATTCCTTTAAAACGCTACTCCTTCTACAGTTTTGGTCTGATTTCAATATCACATGGCACACTAGTAGACTACACTAAGATACATAAGATTGTGCATTGGTTTTTGATTTTGATGAACGATGTTGCCATGGTTACTAAAAATAGAATTTTTCTGAGAAATTCCTTTAAAACGCTACTCCTTCTACAGTTTTAGTCTCATTTCAATATCACTTGGCACACAAGTAGACTACACTAAGATGCATAAAATAGTGCATCGGTTTTTGATTTCGATGAGCGGTGTTGCAATGGTTACTAAAAATAGAATTTTCTGAGAAATTCCTTTAAAACGCTACTCTTTCTACAGTTTTGGTCTGATTTCAATATTACTTGGCACACAAGTAGACTACACTAAGATACATAAAATAGTGCATCGGTTTTTGATTTCGATGAACGATGTTGCCATGGTTACTAAAAATAGAATTTTCTGTGAAATTTCTTTAAAACGCTACTCCTTCTACAGTTTTGGTCTGATTTCAATATAACTTGGCACACAAGTAGACTACACTAATTTATTTGTAATAGTGCATCGGTTTTTGATTTCGATGAACGATGTTGCCATGGTTACTAAAAATAGAATTTTCTGTGGAATTCCTTTAAAACGCTACTCCTTCTACAGTTTTGGTCTGATTTCAATATTACTTGGCACACAAGTAGACTACACTAAGATACATGAAATAGTGCATCGGTTTTTGATTTCAGTGAGCAGTGTTGCAATGGTTACTAAAAATAGAATTTTCTGAGAAATTCCTTTAAAACGCTACTCCTTCTACAGTTTTGGTCTGATTTCATTATCACTTGGCACACAAGTAAACTACACTAATTTACATGTAATAGTGCATCAGTTTTTTATTTCAATGAACGGTGTTGCCATGGTTACTAAAAGTAGAATTTTCTGTGGAATTCCTTTAAAATACTACTCCTTCTACAGTTTTGGTCTGATTTCAATATAACTTATCACACAAGTAGACTACACTAAGATACATAATTCTGTGCATCGGTTTTTGATCAGTACAAACCAGTAGAGCTACAGTCTCGACAGAGACTTCTGGTTGACTTTACCAACGTTTTCCCAGAAGGATACCAGTTATATTCAATTTTTAGCATTGCACCCAAGCGCATGTGAATGCATGTGCGTTATGACCATATCATCTTGTCTACACTATTTATATATTTTAATATACTAAATATTAAAGCATTCAGTCCAAAAGTAATAAAAATCACTCATTCAAGAGTATTTTTAAATATACTCGTTTCAAATGCACGCACGTGCGTGCACGTGCATGATGATCATATCTTCTTGTAGGAGTCCCTTACATCTATCTATGTTCTAAATCCCATCCTGTTTGGTTGGAAAACAAGGGAGTTATAGCCATTTAAAGTTTCAGCCAATCAGATTGCAGCACACGTGCATGCGCGTGATTTCATGATTTTTTTTTTATATCATTTTGTAGGATATCCTAATGCATGACTATATTTTAAATTTCAAAGAATTTTGTCAAAAAACAAAGGAGATATTGCCATTTAAAGTTTCAGCCAATCAGCTTGCAGCACACGCACATGCGATTGCTTTCATGAAAATTCTTATATATCTTGCGGTAGATCTTCAAATTGTAGGACTATGTTCAACATTTCAAAGGATTATGACAAGAAACAAGAAAGTTATTGAGACTTTAGTTTCAGCCAATCAGAGCGAAGCGCACGTGCCTGCGCGAGAGATCTTGCTATTTTGACCATGCTGTCTTGTCTATACTACTAATGTATCCTTACATTATGAGTTTTATAAAATTTCATCAAAAAATAGAAAAGTTACGGCAATATTCATTATATTGGTAATTTCACCTGTTGCACGTGCGCACTCTTGCAAGCACGTGCGCGCAAAATGACCTTTGTTTGGCAACTCTACATAACATGCCTACTGATCATGACCCTAAAAAGGTTTCACCTAAGTCGGATGTGTAGTTTACAAGATCACTCGTGGACAAAATTTTCCCAGGAAGAAGAAAAATAATAATAAGAATAATAATAATAAGAAACAGAGTAAAAACAATATGTTCCCCAACTTCGTTTGGGGAACATAATTAATTGTTTTCTTAGTAATTGCTTCTCTAGTGAGCATTTTAAAATTGCTAAAATTACTTACCACTAAAAATAAAATACCATTTTTAAGGAGAAATCACTAAATTTGTGTCTCGCTAAAATTTCCACTTATATGGTCTCCTGCTATGTTCTTTCAGCGATCATGATTTTATTGAGGAGCAAGAGAGACATTTGTACAATATTTGCATAAGAACCATGGCTCTTCCAATTGGACGGTAAGTCCTTTGTACTAGATTTTAAGGATCATTGATGCTCTGATAAGAGAGATAACTCTTAATGACATAAATGTCTATTATTCCTTTATAGATTTGCCAAGTTGAAGTGTCTTTTTTGTCAAATTTTGCCCCGCAAGCTATGCTATAATTGTTTGCATTTTACTTATAAAATGCATCTCTTTTGGAAAATCATGAAAGTTTAAGCAACATTTTATATAAAGGAGCAGAGGGTTTATGAACCTTAATTAATTATTTTAATAGCTAGTTTGCAAAATAGTCAAGTCTAGTATATGGGATGCTGGTGTTATTTTTTTTGTAGTGGGATGTTCACCCTATGCACATATCACCCTCTCCCAACTGAACCTCTGCCGATTCCCAAGCTGTGTCTACAGGGAAGAGCTCCACCAAGGTAAGGGGCATGGAAGCTGTTATAATCATTTGAAGGTCACTTATACCAAAAGCTGCAAATAAGAAAGCTGATTAAAAAAGATCTTTTTTTTCCAATAACTGGTTGTGCATTTTGGGCACTATTGGTTGTGGGGTTGAAAAGCTTATGCACCAGTTCGGGTTTCTGTTGTCCATCTGTGTAGCTTGCTTAAAATATAATTTTGGATTGAAAAATTGTTGCCATCATTAAAGGAATTATTAACAAATACATTTCATTTAAACAGAAATGCCACTGTAGACTTAACACATATAGATACCCCAGCCAACATGAGCACATGGCCACAGTTTCACAATGGAGTGGCAGCAGGATTAAGAATGGCAGACTTTTCACAGGTTTGTAAACCTTATACAGTCAAACCTCTTTATTTCAAACTCACTGGGACCAAGATTAAACTTTGAAATATCTAGTTCAGATAACCAGAGTAAAAAGTTAAAAACATTAAGAATAAATTCAACTTCTCCCCCATAATTGAGATTCAGCGATCAAGATAATGAAGTTTTGTTTATACTTGTGAGCTTTCTCAGGCTTTATAATTATGTGATGACTACATGTAGTTCGTGATTTCTTCTTTCTATTTGGTCATAGGTTGACTCCACTTGGATATTGTACAACAAACCAAAAGGAAATGAATTGACCAATGAATATGCAGGATTTCTGATGGCTCTTGGTTTGAACGAGCATCTCATACATCTTCACTCCTTAAATGTACATGACTATCTCAGCAAAGTAAGTCCCAGTCAGCTTTTTATGACCCTTGCTTTCACTAACTGCACTGAATATTAATTTTGGCAATCTGTCAAATTTGTGGGGGTATAAACTAAAAATTAAAGCATCTCTATATTTTTTTACACAGGGTAGTGAAATGACAACAGTCGGACTTCTTCTTGGTTTGGCAGCAGCAAAGTAAGTCTGCGTACAGTTACTTGTATATTTGTAAGAAATATCTCCATTCAACATGCAAATAAAGAACATGATATGAATAATTTATTAATATTACAGCAAAGTGATTCTAAAATGTGATGTGAAATTAACGGATATAGCGAATTACATTTTCAATGATGCAGAACTGCCGGTCCCAGACACATTTCTTAAATCTTTAAAAAGTGCACAATGTACTTGTACTTCAAACGAATCAGAATGAATCAGATTTATGTTTTCTTGCACAGGAGAGGTACCATGGAGTTTGCCACCACTAGGATTCTGAGTATCCACGTGGCAGCTTTCCTTCCTCCCACTTCAACAGAACTGAACGTCCCTCACAATGTCCAGGTGGCAGCCATCTTAGGTGTAGGTCTGGTGTATCAGGGCACCGCCCATAGACACACATCGGAAGTACTGCTGTCAGAGATAGGTAACTAAGTTCATATATGAAGTACTGCTATCAGAAATAGGTGGGGCATTCATGAACTTTGGACACTTTATAAGGATGATAATTGAATGAAAAAGGCTCGTGACGAAGAGTAACTATAGTCGTACTTTGATATGTCGAACACTGATATTTCAAATACCATTGGTATGTCAAACATACATTTATGTTTTTAAACCTTGCTTTCTATAATCCTCATATTAATTTGTTTCTTGGTCCCTTCATGTTCAAGATAGTAAGGTTTGACTGTACATTTTACAGGGCGGCCCCCAGGACCAGAGTTAGATAACTGTACAGACAGAGAATCCTACTCACTGGCCGCTGGGCTGGCTCTGGGACTCATCATGTTTGGAGTAAGGTTTCAAGATTTTGGAGGAAGATTAAAATGTTGTAATTAAAGCTCATATCTTTAAGGGAAATCTAAATGTTCCTAACATTGTTTGAATAAAATGTGTGTGAATGTGAGAAAAATTGCCAGAATAATATAGCTGACAGTACAGCCCTGAGATTCATGAACACGTATATTAATTTTTAGAAAGGCAATGAGGTGATCGGTACATCTGACCTTGGGATGGCAGATACACTCTGTCACTTCATGACGGGAGGACACAAGCGCCCCCTGGTAAGATTTGTAATGCATACATCTATTTCAGTTTTATTTTTAGAGAAATTTCAATAAGATTTGAAATATTCTTTATTCTAAATACTTTGAAAAGTATACATTTATTTGTAATATAAATTTTTTTTTATTTATTTGTAATTTAATTCTCAGATTGGAAACAACAAGGAAAGATACAAAGCCCCCAGCTATCAGATTAAGGTAAGATCAATAATTAGAAATGAATTAAATGGCAACCCAAGTTATACTGTATAACATGGGTTGCGGCAGTTTTGCGTTATAAATCACAGAGCCCTTTCTTAATTCTATTGATAATTTTTAATCAAACTTTGAACAAGAGAGGGAGTTGTTATTGTTATTTATATTTTATGTTATTTGCTTCTCTTGAAATACAAGAACTTTATATGATCATTGTTAAAATTTCTTCACTGATGAATGTTGATCAAATCATTATAAATGTATCTGACATGCGGGTAAATTTTACAATTAGAAGATTCTCATAGTATAACTTGTTCTAGGAAGGAGACAACATCAATGTGGATGTGACTTCCCCTGGTGCCACACTGGCTCTGGGCATGCTTTACTTCAGAACTAACAACAGGTTGGATTTTTATCATATAACCCACTTTTAAAATTGGAGCATATTATTAGTGTTGCTTAAATGCAAATTCATTTTACATGTATATCTATCTATATTCTAGGTATTGCACAACTTGTGTATAAGCAAAAATTGCTAGCGTAGACATATGATACCTCATAACAGTCTTACATTTTGAAAATAACCAAGTTGATGTAAAATTTATGTTAATTATAATATTATGATTTTCAAAATCTTAAACAAATGAATATACAGTAAATTACACCAAAATGATTATTTAGTGGATTATGTGCACATTTGGTATGTCAGTCCTTTTAATGCCAAAATGCAACATATTCATGTATGTGATGTAAATGTAATGGAGTTTATTTTGAATGGACATGCTAAGATCTATAATGTCTATATTGATCTCCATGATGTTATTTCAGTGCAGTCATAGACTGGTTAAGAGTACCAGATACACAGTTCATGTTAGATCAAGTCCGTCCTGATTTTCTAATGCTAAGGGTATGGACCTTTTTATATAACACTCCGAAAAACAGTAAACAGAACCAGTATTATTACCAGATAAAAATTTAACTCAATGCATACCTAACCCTGCACATCTTCCTTTACAGACCATAGCTCGAGGACTTGTCATGTGGGACTATGTCGTCCCAAGTTTTGACTGGATCAAGTCAATGATTCCAATGGTAAGGAAATACTAGAACACCACATGTGAATTGCATAGTATCAGTAGCTAGACTGACCAATTTCAGTCTTATGAAATTTTTTATGTAAACTGTTATGTTTTTACACTGATTTTAACTCTTTCTTTTAATGTCTTACCAAACAGTTTCAGTATGGAGGAAAATTTCCTTTATTTGAATAATAATATGCATTCTAAATTGTAGACGTTGATGCTACAAAAAAACTTCTATACTATACTAAATTTCTTCTTACAATTTTCTTCAGATCCTCCAAGAGAGAGCCTTTGAGAGAAAACAAGGAGAGGGGGAGGAAGTCATGATTGATTATGAAACCATGAGGTTTGTAATAAAGAACAAATGATTATTATTCAGGACTTGATTATAAGCCTGGATATATTTTAAAGTAATTTTAAAAATCCCTGTGATTTTTAATCTGTGGTACATGTATTTCCTTTATAGCCAGAGTTACTGTAATGTGGTGGCAGGAGGCTGTATGGTGATTGGTCTGAAGTTTGCGGGAACAGCCAATCAAATGGCATTTGGAACACTGGTAATGCTGGCTGAATACTATCGAGCAATTCATTTGAATTTATAATTTTGGCTATGTATATACTGTATATACAATCAAAATTCATACTTACATGTGATTCACACAATGGATACTGCATGTAATATGAATGGAAGCAAACATTTTAAATTCATTGGTATCATCCAGGTAGATGTGTTTTCACGTTTACACACATATGTTACATTAATTTGATTTCATTATTTTAAAATGGCTGAGTTTATATTGATATCATTGACAGATGAAGAGCATCAAGCTGGCTCTGACCATCATGTCCAGTCAGTCCCACGTAGAACAGACGGGGAGAGGTGTACTGGAGAACTGTATGGTCACCATTCTTCTCTCCTTAGCCATGGTATGAATATCAATTGTCACAGGAAAATATAATACAACGGATCTTGCCATTAAATTTTGTGCTTATTCTATTTCTGAATCGTAATATTTTGTAAAATTACATTTTTTTATGGGGTCAGATACATGTATCTCTGGAAAATATTGGTTCTTGGGAACTTGATCCTGTGGAAGAAGAATATATAATAGTTGTGTATACAAAATTTTACATTTCATTATGAACGTGAACTCATGGGTCTCTTCATACTGTAGATCACTAAATTTTCGCGACCTTATTTTGGAATAGCCGTTGACTCTTTATTGGCGAGCATATTTTTCACGAATTGTTGTTTTCCTTAAATATGTAATCGTAAGGAATACTTTTATACGCGACCATTCGAATGAAATTTTCGCTGAGCTAACATTATAAATTAGACAACATTTTAAACAATGAAAGTTACTCGCGAATAAAACGTGATTTATAGTACCTTCATACCTTAAAAACAATGGAAATTTAATCCCTTAAAAAATTAGTGGTTACACAGTAACTGATGATGATGATGTTTATGCAGGTGATGGCAGGTTCCGGTAATCTTGAGGTCCTCAGGCTTTGCCGTATGCTGCGTTCTCGGATTGGACCCCCACATAATATCTTTGTGACCTATGGATCCCACATGGCAATCAGTATGGCTGTTGGTCTACTGTTTCTGGGAGGTGGCAGGTAAACTTTCAGGTTATCTTGTTGAATTTAAATTGTGTCTTAATATCAATTCTCTGTAATTATCAAACAATATCAAAAATGCTTGGCCACGCTACATTTTCAATTTCTATGAAACTTTTTGTGTGTACTCACATTGTCATATCATTAATGGTTTTATAGTTTTTTATTTCAAAAAATGTCTCGTTGCCATGGTAACGGCACCTATTGTTTCCCCTGTAAATTCTTCCTAAAATTTGTCCAAAAAACGTGATTTTGTAGGTTTTACTGAATAAAAATGAGCTTAAAAGAAACAAGAGAATGGGAAAATCTACTTTTGTTTCAAAACTACCATTATTCCTCTCTAGTATAACAACATAATTTTTTAAAACTATAATTCTACATAATGGCTTAACAACGCTTAGCTTTGAGGATTTTGGCATTTTGCCAAATTGAGAAAATTGCCATTTTAGACCCTTTTTCAAAGCGATTTTTTAATACTTTGCACACTGATTTGAAATTCAGGAAACAGTGCATTGTATAGATGGTACATAAGTTAGTTTAAACACATTAAAATATTTATGGGACACCTAAAATTCTTTTTTTAAAAAGCTGATGAAAAATTACCCAAAATCTGCAAAATTTCCGTATTTCAAGGAACACATGCACATTTCATTAAGTTCATATAGAAAAGAAATGTTACTTTCTACCTGTTTTGATGTCATTTACAGTAAAATTAGTCCATATCTAGGAAAAGTGTCATGTAAAAATATTCACATCCCATTTCCAAGAGCATTAATACATGTAAATATGTTCTTAGATAGGAGAACTGTGAACACCTGCACAAAATGCCCCCCCCCTTTCCGTAAAATTGACAATTTTGAAGTACATGTAGACTTACCAGGGCATGTTTCAAGTTTCCTGAAACTATCTCCTTAGATTGAAACTAATATGAAATAAAATTTTCTCTATCCATTCTCTATTACTATGGAAACAGGAATGCAAGATTTGTTACCATGGAGACAGGAATACCAGATTTTTAACCAAAATGGCTGCGTTTAACATAACAATATTCCCAAAACTACACTTATTTACTCTTTTATAAAACATGTGTAATGAGTTATATGTAAATGTGAACTAAATTTTTTGGCATCTTAAATTTGCATCTTTATGATGTTGCAAAAATATAATGCATTTTGTAATGCTATGTCAAATAATTGCAAAACCTTGTGGCTTTTACTTTTTCAAGATTTGGTCAAACTTGAAAAATTCTGAAATGAAACTAAAACAAGCAGGACATTCATAATATTTTACTCATTTCAACTTGTTACTTTGTATAATTATTTATTAAATTCATGGGCAACTGCAAACCACAGATACTTTGAAGGAAGTCAAAAATTCCCCCCCCCCTTCTGATTTTTTCATTAAAACTTATGAAACACTGCTTTAAACTTGAGAAAAATTACATTGGTTTAAAAAAAAATCACATCCTCTTGGGTAAGTTATCTTGGATTTAAATAGAAATATCCAACAATGGAAAACTTTAAACATAGTGTTTGGCATATAATTAATAATTAGGTTTGCAATGGATCTTTTGTAATCTGTAAAGTCAGTTGAAACAATGCCCCCCCCCCCCCCCCCATGAGACACTGTCCCCCACAAGTATCATTTTAAGGAAGTTCTTCCTTTCATTTTACTAGGTTCCTGCCAACATCTCATCACACCAACTATATCAACCTCCTTTAAATTTCTTTTTTTTCACATGTAAATATAAATTCTGAAAACAAGAGAACTTTTTGCTTTTTTATTTTTTATATATGCAACATTTAGAGTACATTTATTCTCAACTATGGTACATATCATTAGATTTACGTGACAAATTCTACTGTTTCTGCTGCTCTGAAAATCTTGACTCTGATTTTTCAATTTTAGAGTTTTAGTTGGTCAGGCATGTACCAGTAATGACTTACATTGACATACGCAAGTAACACTGATAATTAGTTAATGAGAATTATGCTGAGTTTAGTTTTTTTTGGAAAGGTACAGGATAAAGATTGATAAGTTCTAAAACATATTGTTATACAACATAAGATTTGAGGATGCCATCACATAATATGATAAACATGTTCCTATTACATGTATATTTGAACTTTGACATCTCAAAACACTGATATCTTGAACTTTGACATCTCAAAACACTGATATCTTGAAGACAGTGGGTACAAGTATGTTGAAGTAGGTTGGAATTCAGCTTTCACTTGCCTGGTTTCAAACCTAAAATATGGCATCCCTTCTCAACCTGCAATGGTAAATAATTCCTGCACTTTCCAATATACTAGTACACTGATTTCAAGCTAATTTAATGTGTATGTAATCCTTTAGAAAGTTGTTTTCTTTATTCTACTCTAGTATAATAATTCTTCTGTTACTGGACAGGTATTAAATTTTGTTTAAAAAAAAAAAGAAATAAGCAAGGTTTAAATTTAGATATAAAACTGAAATATTTTTTAACAATTTAAGGACAGATTATACAAACAAACTTTTGTCAAAGAATTTGAAAATAACAACTTGGGTCATGTTTAAATCAGTAAAATTAATAACTTTCCTCACGACAAGTACTTTTTAATTCATATTTGCATAAAAATGGAATTTGAAGTGAAAAATATTTGTATAGATTAATAAGGATAGTTTCAAGAGGGCAGACTTTTGAACATCACAGAAGGTTTACAATTTCTTAATATTCTAGAAATTTATTAATACATCATTAATTTGCAATTAAATTATGCCAAAAAATATATACCAATCCAGGCATCCATTTTTTGTTTGTATCATCTGCCCTTAATTTACTATTTTAAGAATGGTTACCTTGAAAAGAACAGAATCTAGGCTGTCCGCTTTCTTGCAGAATGCACTTGAACTTCAGTCATGGCCTATTTGGTCCTGTTTTGGTTTACTGGTCTTACTTTTTCTTTATTCATCTTATATGGTAAATCCTTTGATGAAAAAATGATGAAAATAATTATTTTCCTAGGAACATGATCAAAAGGAAAATTCATTTCATTCATACACAGACATGTTCATGTGTGTGATCATCTTACCAGTAGTGAATATTTGCCTGAGTATCAATTAATTTGTTTAGAATATTATAAAACATGGTCAGTGTGTACAAAACAAATATCATTATAAATCAGAGGTGAATATTCTACATGTACATGTATATAGTTTTATTATACCCTCCGCTTGAAAAGTGGTGGGGTATACTGTAATCGGTATGTCCGTCTAACTGTACGTCCATCTGTCTGTACATCCGTCTGTCTGTTACGCTTTAGGGTACCCATCTCTTATTATCCACAACTCCTCTTATACCACTGCAATGAGTGAAATTTAATGAACCTTTCACAGAATCTTTATTACATATTGTCATTATGCACCTCCTATTTTAGTTTTTGATTCAACGCATATTTTGGGTTTCCCGACCACAGTAAAACATGGATTTGTCATCAGTTATAACCATATGGGAGGCAGGTGGTATCATTTAGTGAGCTCAATGCTCACAGGACCTTTAGTTAAATTTTGTTTTAACACTTATACATATGTACAAGTGTACATATATATATTTTTACTGTTTGCTATTTGAAAAGATAATTATTATTCACACAAAATTGAACTATAGATTATACAGTACCGGTACTTCACAGATGAATGAAAGAGTCTATATAAACAAAAATAACTCCATATTTCCAGTGCATTCTTAACCTAGATCTATTTTGTCATTACATATAGTACAGTAGTTTTGGATATATAATAAATTTAAAGTTTAAAAGATAGAAGCTTTTAAATAAAGCAATGACATCAAAACAAACATGCTGTTTTCCTATTTTCTGCTTATGAACATCACATGACCATATTTTGCTGATATATATAGAATACTATTTAAAAAACTTATCTACTTTATGCTTGTGCTCACACATTATAAACGTTTGATGCACTTTTTTATAGAAACAAATTAAACTTGCTCTAGTTAATATTTTAACAACACAATTCTGTAAAATATGTGCCTAATGCCAATAAAGAATTGAAATAATAGGATAAACAATGAATGAAAACTGACAGAAGTGGAAATTTATTTTATAAAGATAAATAATGTTTACTTAAAAGTTTCTCTCAGCACATCATAAAAAGTAAACCTACTGAATGGCACAGATTTTACACATGTACAATCTCTATATAGACATTTATATTTCGGGGGGGGGGGATTCAGCTGTATCAGCAAGTGATGTTTATATGCTTCAAATTCATTTTCATTAATAAAAATAATTAATTCATTGGTCAGAAAGTCAAACTGTCAAAAGGTATAGTTCGCTTGATTTGATAAGGACCACTGACCACTACACCAGTAAAACAACTGGGTATTGTAAGGCAAATAAAATTAAGAAAATATGCATTTGTTAATCTTGATATTTTTGTAATGCTCAGTATATACATAAATTTACCTTCTGTCTTCATTGTTTAAGATGTCTAGCCTTCTTTTCTTCTTCCAGACCGTAAAACTTTGATGAGATCTTTCGCCAGAAAATATTCATTGTTGTTTACTAAATACACATTGTACCTCCAAACGTTAGAGAGTAGTTCAAGGGAAGTAATTAGGAAGCAAAAAATGCTTCAAAATGTAGAAAAAAGTAATCTTTACCTTTGAATTCCTTTTACATCTTTGAGTCTCCCACCAATATTTTACATATTTTGATATAATCAAATATTAGCCTTTCTTAATTAATAATTACTAAATTTGTAATCAGTGTGCCTTTTTTGTTTTAAGCCTCCAAAAACTCCACTAAACCAATCACATATCTGATATGTTATAATATGTAAAATGGCCATTTACTATTGAGAAATTAAATTAAAACTACAGATATAATTACTTGAATCTGTAGTATTAAATTTAAATAATGAAAACATATTAAGTTATCCCTTTTCATTTTTGGACACAGTTTTTCTTGATAAGTACACGTTTTTCAAAATTAACGAAATTGAGAATTTTGCACCCCGTTTCTATGGCAACCAAGGGTCTATTTCATAAACCCACTTTAGATTTTACAATTAATGACATAGCTGTTTAAAATTATTATAAAAAATCAAAATGTTTTTCTATGCGTGGCCAACCAATTTTGATAATTACAGAGAATTGATATTAAAATTTGTGAACAGAGTGGTATACAAATTGTTATTTCATTTACAGGTACTCCTTGAGTACAGCCCCAGAGGCAATAGGTATTATGCTGTGTGCATTCTTTCCCAAGTTTCCATTCCACAGCAATGATAACAGGTAGGAAGAAACATTTAATGCATAAAGGTAAATAGATATTTTACGGGGTTTTCTGTCTATGTTTATATTTTATGTTTGTTCTTTTTGCATATTGAGATTATAGGTACCATTGACAGGCTTTCCAACATCTATATATTCTGTTTACATGTCTTGTTTTGGGATTGTAGGTACCATTTACAAGCTTTCCGGCATCTGTATGTTCTGGCCACAGAAGCAAGAGTTGTCCTTCCTAGGGATGTAGATTCAGGGGAACCTTGTTATGTACCTCTGGAAATCAAATTCAAGGTATGACTTTGAGACAGTAGGTCACTGCATGAAGCATAATTTGGCAATTTGGTACTACCAGTAGGTTGTGACATCTCAAAATGGTTGGGAAATTTTCACTTGAATTTAAAACTACATACAATCTATCAATGACTGTGATTATGCCTAGCTGTGTGGACATTTATAATTACTTTATGGTTCTGCATTGCTTTAGGATACAGATGACTATTCAGGAGAATGTTTTAGGACATCTGCGCCTACTCTTCTACCTCAACTGGATAAAATTAAAGAGGTGAGGAAATTAATATTAAAGCTCTCACATACATGTATAAGGATATTAAAATTTTACTTGTTCAGAGTGATTCATCGCTGTGTGTTTTGTTACCGAATATATCAGATGAATGAAAAATTTTAAAAGTAAGGTGTGAAAAATATTTCAAGTGCTTCAAGCGTGAATTTATCTCTGTAGTGCTTGTTACCGTTAAACAAAAATCTTTCCTTTTTAAGGTCAAAATACTTGGACCCAGATATTGGCCAATAACATTTCAAATTGACAAAAACTGGAGTACTCTACAGTTAGTTTTATATACATATCTTTCTTATCAATCAAGCAACCTTTTCCCTCTTGTGTGTATGTATATTGTGTTTTATGTATATGATAACAACCATTATATACAAATGTTAACAATGTACTTTCTTTTTGCCGCACTAGGGCCCTTAATTGTTCAATGAACTAGTTGAATTGAATTGAATTGTACAATACTCAATAATACCAATATCTTGATTACTAATAATTAAGATATTGCCAACTTTTCAAGAAGCAGGGTCAATTTTAATCATACTTGCCTTCATCACGGAAGGTTCAGTTTATTTCAAAATTAAGGGTAACATCTTTTTCAAATGGATATAACCAAGAGATATTTAAAGTACAAAGGGATCGTGTTTAGTCTTTATCAGGCATGGAAGCTTCCTTATAAACTGAAAGTGAAGATTTGATCAAATCTTAAAATGATAATGTGGTTTGTAATTTTTCAGATTGCTTCTTAAGAAAAATGGTGTTCTTTTTGTAAAGCAGAGGGCTGGCTATTTATCTTATGTTCTGGATCCAAAGGTATTTTCAACCTTTTTAACAGATATTCCAAAAAGAAATTTAATGAAATGTGACATGATTGTGAAGATTTAAACATAAAAGGGAAAAAATTAAATGGATTGGAAATTGGTTAAAAATGGAATTGGATAGTTTTAACATGCAAGTTAGATATTTTTTTCTTGAAAATTCACGTGGTGATTTGTGATCATTTTTTTGGGGGGTCTCTCTGTATATTCATGTTTTTGTATACCAGATCTTAATTTATGAGCAATTCTAACAAAAATGAATAAGTTTTGATGCTACTTTTCCTCTTGTATTATAAATATTTCATATTAAACATTATCAAGCACAGCTTTCACTTCCCGATAACAGCCCCTAGCAGGATCTTCTGATTGTGTTGGTTTTCTTGTTTAATTATAAGCACATTTCTTCTTTGCAGGGATACAGGAGTATGTTAGCAAAATCTTTAACTAGTGATCACTCAAGTCATACCTCAGTGCAGGTAGTGCATACATGTATTTCAGTAATTTAAATTTTTACTTTGGAAACAAAAATTTCAAAAATGCTTTTAAAACAAATTGCTTTTGAACAAAAGATGTGTCAAAACCTTCTGTGGTTACTTTTAAATACAGTCAGAACTACGATAAATGTGATGAAATTTTCTTCAAAATCTTGAAAAAAATTATGATTGGAAATTTAATGTATACCTTGCTCTCTCTTTAAATGCTACCTAAAGGGAAATTGCTCCATTGAAGGACAGGTCCAGAATAAAGGAGGACAATTAGGTTTCTTCACACTATGTACTTTTTTTTCAGCCTGATGTTATTAAAGCATTCACATCCGATCCTGTTATTTCATCAATGGCTGATTATTTCCTTAAAGGAAAAGAGAATTGTCAGGTACAGTAAATTCCCATCTTCCCTGCATCATCCGTAAGTGATTGAACCCTTTAAACTTCTTCTCAGAAATGTCAAGCACTTTTGGCATGTAGAGTCTTTTGATGTTGGGAAAGAGAGACTTGTGTGTCTATTTTGAAGGGAGTAAGTTCATTTTGAATTTTTGTTTTATCAGAGAAGCAGAACCCTTCAAAAGTTGTCCTCCATATTGTACTCCAGTGTGACCCGAGAAAAACCTGAGGTCATCTCAACTCACATGAGACTTGATCAGGTAAAAATATTAAAAATTAACAATTATTAATTAATTTTAATTTTACATTAGAATTATAATTATCCTATTTTGATAAAGAGGGTGTTGCAGAAACTTGTGATTTTTCCCTATATATCGAGAAGGACATTTAAATACCCTCGTTATGTCTAAATATGGATACAGCTACGTAGAGGACTATGTTTACGGCGGGTATTTCCTGCTTGATACAGCAAAACACTTTCGTTATTTTGCACGAAAAAGGTTGGAACAACAAAAAGCACAATGGCTAAAGCAGCATTTTGAAAGATACACCGTAGACATCGTGCGAAATTATTTTTTGTGAAATATAGCTGTGTCCCATAATCACACTGTTGGTGCTACATCCAAGACATTTCATTTGTTTCAAATCAAATCTTGGCTACTAACTAAGAGACCAGAATTATTCAAAATAGCAACAACTACAGTATGTAAAAAAAATAAAGTATTTAAACAATACAGTAACTTTATTTTCCAAGACAACACTAAATATATTTTTAAGTCACAGCATGTCAAGGAAAACAATTTTATCCTGCGTATAGTTATAACTTAATTAACTTCTTGACATGTACTCTCTTTCAAAAATTATATAATTTCATTGTACTAGTATTGCATATGGAAAAAAATTAGAAAAAAAAATATATTCAAAAATGATCCATTCCAGGACTCGAACCCATGCTCTGGTAAATGTACGAATTGGTTACCAACCAACATTTCCACTAGACCATTTCGCACACGATGGTTTTCCAATATTATTTAATGTACACTCTTTGCATTTCGTTTGTAGAATAATTTTAATTCAATTTTTGCATTTTTCAAAAATGTGCCTCTTTGAAACAAAAATCGGAAATGGCAGTTTTGAAGAAAATTCCTGCCTCTTTGTGTAAAAATCAAAATTATTTTGTTTCAAGGAGGCACTTTTTCAGAACAATGGGGATTCCCTATTCAAAAATCAGAAAATCTGATAAATTTTGCCGTGAGACTAATTTTCACATCATTTTATGGCAAATTGGAAGTCAATACGCAGCTTCCAAATATTGTTTTTCGTTGTGCTTTATATATTGATGCAATTGAAAAAAATTAATATGAGTTTCTGCAACATAAAAATTTTTTTTTTAATTTGCTATACATTTAGGGAAAATAACAAAAAAACTGCAACACCCTCTTTAAGGTATATTTATAAACTGCATCTATATGTGAGTACAGTATAATTGAATTACATGTTTATACATTGTAAATAAATTTTTACTATTCAAATTATTTTTTCAGGTCCTGAACCAGTCCAGTTTCTCTTTGTCCCACCTTGGGATTACACAACTGAAGAATATTTTTGCCTACTACTATAGTTCCTTCAGCTTTAGGAAATCTGGCAGCATTTCTACTGCTCAGCTGCTCCAAATGGAGTTTCTGTTGGCATTAAAATCTCACCTGGAGGAAAAGCTTGATAAATGGCAAGCAGGTAAATTTTTTAAGAATATTTCAATATTTCATTGACATGTGTATAAATTTTCAATGAAGTATGAAAACCTTAAAAATAATATTTATGATAGATTTATTTAAATGTCATTCAAACTTGTGTATTTTTTTTCTTTGAAATTGAAAAATAATACTAACCACTTCTGAATGATCAGAATTCTTTAATCCAGTTGGTTTTCTCTTTATGATGTTATTGTTCAGTATTGTATGTATAGATCAACTGTTCCTTTTCTCATGAACATTGAAATAATAAAAGCAATGGGACCAAGCAGGTCTTGTACATGTATTTTTACAAATTGTGAAAAATTAAATGTAGATTCCTGTTTGATTACAGTAGAAATAGGGTAAGAAAAATCTTATATGCTATAATACACTGTATGTATGTAAAATCACTTTATTTGACAGCCAACATGGAAGTTATTGTGAAATATCTACAAACCAACACTGTTAGAGGCTGTGACATGTCCCTCCTATCGGCCTATGTCACGTGGTACGATATTCCAACCCCAGCCGAGATTTCAAAAATTATTGTGGAAGGTGGGTTCAATTCAAAATATGACGAACCTCAATCCATCATAAACCAATACAAAAAGATTGTCAAAAATATCAATGTAACAATACTTGCAGGGTCTATATGACTAGATATTTCTATATTTTTCAGAATTCATTCAAAGTATGCATGTTACACTTTTCAAAAAGGCACAGCTTCATGTCATTTCCATATATAAGATATGCTTCAAACACAGTAATCAGTGATTACACGATCTTCTTTTTGTTGTTTACTGTTGTATGTTTTTCTAATACAGGAGGCCCTACATTACCTGTGCTGTGTGCCACACTCCCACACTTACCTGTCAACACTGTGATGCAGATTCTTACAGCGTGGCAGGCCGCTGTGTGATATTAACATGAACAGATAGACATCATTTGCATAAAATAACAAATAATTTTGAATTACAGGAAATGAATTGTGAACTAGAAAAATAAGATATTTATAACTCCAAGAGTTATCAATATGTTCTGTACAGTGGAATAAATTCTTTATGGATGTTTATAATTTCATGACATTTCATGCAGAATAAATTTTCATGACATTTCTTAACAAATAAAATCAAACAATACGATTTTTAAAAAATTTTAATTATTTACATGTATATGATTTTTTTTCACTTTGAAATGTTTTAATTATATCAGACTAAATTGTATTTGATAAGGACATGTTTCTCAGATTGTAAATTGTCAAAGAACAAGGTTTGATAAGGATGTTGTAATGTCCTCTCAGACTGTTAATTGTCAAAGAACAAGGTTTGATAAGGACATTGTAAGGTCCTCTCAGGCTGTAAATTGTCAAAGAACAAGGTTTGATAAGGACGTTGTAAGGTCCTCTCAGGCTGTAAATTGTCAAGGAACAAGGTTTGATAAGGACGTTGTAAGGTCCTCTCAGACTGTAAATTGTCAAAGAACAAGGTTTGATAAGGACATTGTAAGGTCCTCTCAGACTGTAAATTGTCAAAGAACAAGGTTTGATAAGGACATTGTAAGGTCTTCTCAGGCTGTAAATTGTCAAAGAACAAGGTTTGATAAGGATGTTGTAAGGTCCTCTCAGACTGTTAATTGTCAAAGAACAAGGTTTGATAAGGACATTGTAAGGTCCTCTCAGATTGTAAATTGTCAAAGGACAAGGATTGATAAGGATTTTGTAAGGTCCCCTCAGACTGTAAATTGTGAAAGAATAAGGTTTGATAAGGACCTAACAAGACTCCAATTTCCAATAAGCTTAATCAATATAATACATGTATATGATTTATATTGATGAAGAAACTTTATAAATTAATTACTGAGCAATGCAACTACATTGTATATATCCATGCACCCCCACCTTTTTTAAAGAGAGGGAGAGATATCATTAGCTATAGATAAAAAAATTGAATTTTAGTTACCTGTCGTTGCTTAACCTTTAATAGTTTAATAATACGAGAAATGAATATTTGGAGCAAGTGATATATATAGTGTACATGTAATTATATGCATGAAAACATGTATTTGGGGAAAAATGTATAATGAAAATATACAGTGTAGTGAGTGGTAACGGTTCAATATCCATGTACATGCAAACGAAACAGATAATAACTTGTGACAGTGGTGCTTGTTTTGACAGCAGAAATGAGCGCATTCATTGGTATTGAGAACTTCAAAAAACACTGCTGACAATCGGCAAAATATAAAAATAAATCAAGATGCCATTTGTGTTCGAGATAGGAAGTAATGATCATTATCTTTTAACAGCAATTTTTTCCTCACAAAATGCAAATTTTTTTCTGACATAGAAACGACAGAATTCTTGCAAATTGATATTGATGACCACTTCCATTAATGTAATTACATGCGTTTAAGTCCATGGCGGTGTTTTGCAAATTGATATTAAAAATCATTATCTTCCCCATAACTGGTAAATGTTTGTACTTTTACAATGGGTATAAAATCAGCAGTGTTTTATAAATATACTGCCTCTTTCAAGATATGGACGATCTTTATGAATTCCAAGTCGTATAATTTTAAGGTGACCTTTGATATGTTAAACTGCTGTCCCTTCGGTGAGCATAAATGTCAGAGAGACGTTTCAATTAAACGAAAAAATGCAGTATCTTCCCAACACTGCAGGGACTTGTCGCCAATTCTGTAAACACACTTCTCCCCAAGGGATCTCAATGTCGATATTTGTCAAAAATCATAATTTGGAGAAAAATTCTCGCATGCACACAATATTTGTTTATCCAATAACTTCAAAAGCATGAAAATTACAAATATTTACTTAAATTCTATTGAGAATTGAACCAATCTATGGCACGCCAAATTCACAAAAAACAGATAAACCTAGTTTCACATTTGATAAACTAGGTTTATCGACTGTAAACTATAGTTTACAAACCGTAAACTATAGTTAACATTCGTTAAGTATAGTTAACGAAAAAGTTTTCATCTGTAAAACTATATTTATTGATAACTAAACGTTAAATTTATCTTTGTAATAAGCGTTAACAATAGATTTTGTTGATAAACATAGATTACGTTTGTTAACTATAGTTTACAATCGTAAACTATAGTTATTGTTAATCATAGTTTCACAAATCGTGAAACTATATTTATCAGTCCTATAGTTAACGGTTTGTAAACTACAGTTTACAAATTGTGAAACTGTATTTATCAGATAATCTATGTTTTGCAATCGCAAATGATAGTTTTCGGTGTTAAGTATAGTTTACGGTTGTGAAACATAGATTTTTTTTTTACAGATGTAAAATATAGATTTTGTTAACTATAGTTTACAGTCCGTAAACTATAGTTTACAACCGATAAACCTAGTTTATCGATTGTGAAACTATGATTTGCTCATTTTTGTGAATTTGGCGTGCCATACCAATCAATAGTCACTAGACAAACTTCGTAACTAAGAACGCGTCAGAATGAAAACAACGTCAACACGGATAAATAAAAACATGCATATATGATTAAAGTTAAATGATCTTTTTGCTGATTGGTATCAATTTATTACGCACAATATGAAAATCGCCTTACGTCCTTTTATTCCAGTGTATAATAGCCCCATTAGCGTAAGGATATTTTTTTTAACACAACAGTCCTGTTTTTTGAACTCAAACAAAGCACAAGTCGTTTTCTTTGATATTTACGAAGTTTGCATGCTGAAACATTTTTAAAAAAAAAAACGTTAAAAAGACTACCTAAATGCACTTCAAAAAATTTTATTGGAAACATCTTAAAGTTATACATGTATTATGATTATTTACTTGTATTATGCACTGGCGAATAATGGGCAACTAAAGACCGCAATTTATAAATGAAATAAAAGAAAAAAGGTTCACTTGTTCCATAAAATGACCCTAGCCATATCCCAATATATTAAATAAAACCCTATTTCCTATTTCCTACTTCATTTCTTACAACAAAGTTTCGTTTGAGATCCCAGGTATTGGAAAACGAATTACGTTCAAGTTCATTTTGCAGAAACTCATCAATCCAAAAAATGAAACATGTTTATATTTTTTCAAAAAGACTCGCATCCTTCATAGAATGATCTGTATTCGTTTTTTAGAATGTGGCAAACCTATTTCAAAATTGACAAAATGTTTGAAAATTTAATTAAATACGAATTCACACATATGACTTCTAGTGACCAAAGCATTTTCGAGTATAGGTAAACTTTGGTATCTCGACATCGGATATGTCGATAACCTGGGATAAGTCGGCGTCCGTCCGCAGTCCCGGCTGTATTTACTGTATTTTTTATACTCGGATAAGACAGAGTTATGGTTCTTCGATTATTAGCCTTACGGAGTGCTCAGTTATTACATTGAAGTTTACTCATATCCCCCTCTCTCTCCCTCTCTCTCTATATTTTAATAGAGCGAGGGAGAGAGAGAGAGAGAGAGAGAGAGAGAGAGAGCATCACAAAACAGTTACAGGTTTCAGTCAAAATTCACATTTTTAATTGGACCATTTAGGAAAAAATCCATTGTAGTATGCTTTCAATTTCTTGAAAGCTCGGAAGATTTCCGATGGAAACCATCACGTGATCTTTTGTTCAAGTTTATTAATTTTACATCAATATATAATGGAGATGATTGTTTTTCTTTGCTATACAGCTTCATTCTTATCTACAGAGACTTTCTTTGATCTTTGCTTGCGGGCGGTGGGGGCGTTTAATCTTCCCTCGGGGTATTTCTAAAAACATTTTAAAGACCTCATTTATGCAATCCCAATCAATTTGGCTTCAAACTGAAAAACTTACAATGTGTGTCGATACCATCATTTTGCGTGCTGAGTGCAATTTTTTTTTATTGAAATCTTAAAGGTTATCACCCAATATTGCATGTATAGGTCTCTTTGACAACCTTAAATTGTAACGGTGTAAATGATATTGTAAATATTTCACAGTTGTAATTACTGTTTTTTGCATCATGGCTAACAAACAGATCACCGGGTAAATGTTTTGGTATCCTAATGGGGAGTTTTACGTAGAGTTAATCAATCAAACACCAGTCGTTTGATGTGATCTAATTTCACAAATGGCTTGATTGGCGAATAAAAAATGATAAGCACCCAGACTTGATCAGAGACTACAATATTTGTAATAAAAAAAGGGGGTCCTTTGCTTTTCCTGAAAGTTGTAATCATGTGTGAGGACGAGTTGTTAAATTTTGTGTGAACTGAACGTACGACAGCACGCAACTGGGAAATCAAAAAGATGACCACGTGACCAATTGGTTGGAATAACAATTATATTCCTGATCAGATCAGACATATTAATATTGATTCCAGCATGTATGACAAAATATTAACACCAGACAGTTATGACTTCATTGAATGAAAAGTGGCAATCTTATAGGTTGTTATTCCAAAAACACATTATTTATCCCATCAGAAACTCGTAGGAAGGGTGAAAGTAAATGATTCATATTACCTAATGGGAGGTTGATTTTAGGGATCATTATATTTCTGAGATTTCGCTGAGTTACAGTTTCCAAAACGAAAATGACATGTTGATTTATAGAAGTAATGGTAAATTAATCAAGCGGATCAAGGAATGGTCTTCTTGATACTAAATGATTTGGAATGACATACAGTGATACATTTCTGCACTATTGCCAATAGTTCTAAGTTGTAAAAAATACCATAGAGTCTTCATATGTCTTTTTTATATTTGAATATTTTACTAGAAAAAGACTTAAATAGAAATCTAACAACAGAACTTTATGATAAACGTAGTGACTTCATCTTTTCATTCGTCCTTACTTATGTGGGGCCACAACCTGAGCACACCAGGCTTCATTTGAACAAACTAGAATCTACACTACCTGAGGATGATTCCATATAAATATCACTAATCATAGCTTTGAAGTACTTGAAAAGAAGATTTTAAAAGGTTTCCCTATATATCCCTATGTAAAACTTGGGTCGGCCATTTTGGCCCCACCCTAGCCCCGGGGGTCATAATTTGAACAAACTTGAATCTACACTACCTGAGGATGATTCCACATTTTCATCTTTCCTGGCCCAGTGGTTCTGGAGAAGGATTTTTAAAGATATTTCCTATATATTCCTATGT